TTACCGAAGATTTATACCAAATTTTTCGAAATTAACCAAACCCTTCACCAATTTGTTAAAAAATGACACTAAATTCGAATGGACAATAGATCAAGAAGATCCTCCTTCCAAGCATTAAAGGAGAAATTGTGCGAAGAACCTGTCCTGCAATATTCCCGATTTTTTCAAACCTTTTATATTAACTACTGATGCTTCCGGAATAGCGATTGGAGGCATCCTACACAAGAAGAAATAAATAAAGATGGACCGATAGCATACGCTTCGCGAACTCTGACCGAAAACGAAATAAAATACGACACTTATAAGAAAGAAGCTTTAGCCATAGTGTATTGTCAAGCATTTTAGACCTTATCTATATGGACGGAAATTTACTTTGGTTACGAACCACACCTCTTCTCTGGTTTAAAAATGCACAGAACGCAAACATGCGAATGCTACGATGGAGATTAAAATTAGCTGAATATGATTATGACGTGGTATATAAAGCAAATAAACTTACTAACGTAAATGCCGATGCATTGTCACAAAATCCGGTAGACCTCGAAGAAGCGAACAATATAATTAATCACTCAAGCCTTTGAATCTTAACGATCCAAAAGATGCAGAAACGATTTCTAAAATGCTAGAGGAATCAGATGAGGAGGACGAAGAGGACGAAGAGGACGAAGATTTTAAACTATATTTGACTGATGACGAACCACTTGAAGACTTATTTCCAACGATCATCCCCCTGAAAAGGATACGAATTCAGCATCTCTTACATGAAGGGAGACAGAGAAACCATAAGGGCCACAACTATGGAAAAGGCCATAACGCGCAATATTCCTCAAAGTAATAAAATGCAAACTCGAAGCCAAACAGCAAAAAATAGATGCCCAACAGTATAAGCTACCCAGAGATTTCCCACAACAAGAAAATGAGACGGAAAGAGTAAAAGACAGAAATGATTCATTGGACGGAAAAGGCGATGTAAAAAGCGACAATGAAGAGGAAAATCAAGAAAAGGAAGAATTTGAGGAAGGATATAAAATTCAAAAATTAAAAGAAAAGACAAGGCCTATTATTGTTAATGACCAAATAATCAAAAACAATATTCTTGATTCTCGCGATCTATTATTTTTGCGAAAGGATAACGTTGCATATTTTGTCGACACCAATGGGAGACTGTTGGACTCAGGTTCACAAAAACTGTTTGAAAGAAACGAGATCTCTCGCTTAGAAGATCTCGCTCTAGGAAAAGCCAAAATCATAAAATACAAAAAATATTACCATTTAGCCTTGCCTATCAGCGAAAGGCAATGTGAAGGACCGACGATGACCTTCACCCACATTTCCGCCGTAATAAAAGATGTACGGTCTATCACTGAAGAATTAAAATTAGAGACTATTAGCATTGCTAAAACCGATCATGTTAATAACGTGCCATGGAGCAATATCAAAACCGCAATTAGTTTTGTGGATTCAACAACCAAATTAATTATATGCAATGGATTAGTGAAATACCCACCTAAAGATCTTCGATCTACGATAATGGAGAAATGCATTGCTTACTTAGGACATAGAGGACATAGGGAGGACATCGAGGTATCGCAAAGACTTATAACAGAATAAAACATAAATTGGGAAAATCTAAAGTCTGATGTTCAACGATATATACAACAATGTTTACAATGTCAGTTAAAAAAACTCGTTCGAATAAAAACCAAACAATCTATGATAATTACTGACACACCAGGATCGTCTTTTGACAAAGTAGTCATGGATATCGTAGATAAGAAAATTGCTGGTTTCAAAATCTCACTTAAATGATAATATTTTTCATTTTTTTCCTTCTTGTCAAATTTTTCTCGAAGAACATAACAATAATTGCAATTTTAAAGAATACATTTATTTTTTTAGATTCTCTTATAGACGAATTTGATACACAGTTTATTTGCTTCGAAAAACTCAGAACTGAATTAATTCTTTTCGAGAATCCCCTTATAGCGCCAATTGAAGGACATCATCTTGACTTGCAAGATGAATTATGTGATTTGCAGAACGATATTGCACTTAAAACAGTTAAAGAAACTAGCGCCAATTTTTACAAAATATTGAAAGAATCAACAATCAATATCCCAATCTTCGAGATTTCGGACTTCGAATTCATTCCATGTTCGGATCTACATATTTATGTGAGACATCCTTTTAAAAAGTGAAGCTTATAAAAAATGAGGGACGTTCTACCTTGAGCGATGATTCTTTGCCTTGTTTTATGCGGCTCGCTACGTGTAATATACAAATCGACGTTTCTGATCTCGCCAATAAAAGATTCCGAAAATGAGAATAAGTATTTTTCATTTCACTTAGTTTGCGTTTAATTACTTGGTCGTACAATTTATCATTTTTATCAGTGGACTAGGTCTATTGGAGATAGCACTTAAAAAAAAACCGCGTCAAAAATATTTTAAGGGTGACATGGAAAATTATTGAAAATTCATTGGATGTATTCATTTTGAGCGCTTACCCGTTGCTTCATTCTGTCTTAATTATATAATGTGTGAAAAAAAAAAATGAAGTTTACAGCGTGAGCGCTCAAAGCGAGCGCCCTATGCACATGTCTTAGACGCTCCTAAACGTCGGGCGGTATTTGAATTGCGCGCGAGGCGAGCGATGAAAGGAGTAGCGGAAGGCGGAGCCTCTCGAAAATCGGCCGAGAAATGCAAATTTTGCCGCGCCCTGTACTAGTCATAAGATTTATAAGAGATTCGTAAATATTTACGAATAATCATACGTCTTACGATACATTCGCATAAAATTAGAATACTGATTGTAAGTTCCTATGAGTTTTACGAAAACAAATTACGAGTATGATTCTGCTTAGAATTGACCTATTAATTTCTTCTATGAATAAAAATTAAAAATAATTTTATTCCAAATATTATAAAATTATTGTATAAGATTGAATCTTTATTTATCTTTAAGATTGAAAAAATAAATTCTTAAAAAATTGTTGAAAAATTGCATTTAAAAATACATTGAATGTTACAAAAAATATTTTTAATAATTATATTTAATATATATATACATATATATATATAAAGTATATTTAAATTGTTAGAAAATCTCACGTCTAAATCATCATGTAATGAGATGTAAAAAGTAACCTTCTAAATCATGTATCGTGATATTTTTTGAAGAAAAAATAAGTTTCTTGAAATAGATGAGGAATAACTGTGAACATCTTATTTACTTATCATTTATATAATAATTTCTAAAAGTACTTAATAATGAAATAATTTCTAAATGTTTATATACAATAAATTTATATTTCGTATTGTTAACATCGTTATATTTTGTATCGTTTGTATCATTTACTCATTATATTCATTACAATAATGATACTCGATGAAAAAATGTTTTAAACATAATGACTTCTTGCACCATGAACATCTTACTATATTGCTGCAATCTTCGATACACACGTTGTTGAACTTTTGTGGAAACTAAATTCTATTGGATTTTAAAATTCTTCTGATCTTTCGTTTGTATAACCATTTTTAAACCACGAATATTTAAATAAGTTGTGATATCGCGGAGATGACAATTGATTATGTATCAAAGATTGTAATTTTATTATATTATTTCTTTCATATAAATTTATATTACTTTCCAATAGTAAAATAATATCTGAAAACCTTTTAGCAAAATTTTTCCAAATTCTAAATCTGTAAACATCTAATGGTTGTATTTTTTTATAATGCCTTTTGTTGTGCCGCTATTTCATAGCACGTTTCGTGGATCTACAAAGGACTTCGGGAGATGACATTAAACAGCCAAAAATGGTTTTAAGCACAAATATTTAGCTGTTACACATAATACCAGTGATTATTTTATCACAATTCCTCTTAGCATTATTTGCGTCGCGATAGGTGCAGCGCTGCTGCACTTTCGTTTACGATGGACAAAGTAACGCGACGAGTTTCTTCTAAATTTCTGACTGATGACGCATTCGCGGTAGCACCTATATATCCTGATTTTCGCAGCAGCCTTGGTCTTTCTGCGTTGGCTCGTCAGCATTCCGCTTATCCAACGAGGTCAACTTTCGCACAAATGTCTTGCGTCTACGTTTCTACCGTTTATACTCAGGGTCTCTTCTTTTATATTAATTATATTTAATAAATTCGTTTCAAATAATATCTCGGTTTAACTTTTGATATTTTCTGACACGTTCTTGGCGCAATTGTCACTTATGCAATTAGCACTCGTGACATTTTCGATATAATCGTAATAATAATATGTTTTCCTGCAGATGTTAAATCTAAAATAATATGGGACAATGTCCAGTCCATGAATCGATAAGAAGAACATATGTTTGGAAAATAATCTTCTTCTAACCACATTTTAAAATGATCTGTAAGAAATATAAATGTTAAATTAATAACTGTTTTACGACTGTTATGAGATTCTTAAATAAAATATAAAATATAAGATGTAGTAAAAAAAAATCAATTATTTTTCCAATAGATGGCTTTAGTAATCTGTATCTCGCGTTGAATAAGTGCGATCGGATTACGCTAGATGGCGTTAGAAAGATAAGATTTGTGGGAATATGTGACTCAATGGATAAGTCAGAGTTCTCTTAACAAGCCCACGCTTGTCATGTGATGTGATAAAGAAAATATTAATCGAGACTTAATTTGTAATTGTAAATATAATATTTATTTCACGAGCACAATTTTATATGACCGTACAGGACGAACACCTCTATTGATCTGTTAATATAATATTTCTTTTTTTATTATTTTTTTACGCTGCTAGGCAACTCGTTACCAACACAATCTTTAAGCTTACTACGCTCGCTGCGCTAGTGAGGCATTAAGAATTCCCACATACTCCCCCCCGAGTGACAACGAATCCGGCACTTAGGTCTACCTTATAAAATATATACAACGTGTCATATAGAATATCTTAAAAGTATCTGACAAAAATTAATTACATTTTTGGAAGATCTATTACAATTATAAGGCGAAAGTCACCTTCCTCTTCGGGCGCGCATACGTTCTCAAAGTTGGTCGCTCGTTGCTAGACGAATTAGCTGTTTGCCCTGTTTCTAGAATCGCACTACACAAATCATCGCGTATGCCATACGCTGGCTTCAAATTCTCGACTGATACACTGCGCTGTGCACCATTAACTTCAATATCGAAAACTCGATCCGAAACACGATTTATAATCTTGTGAGGGCCGGTGTAAGGACGCTCTAATGCTCTCTTACCGCCCACCCGTAGAAAAACATGGGAACAAGAATATAAATTTTTAAATACGAATGCGCGTTTCTTGTGCTTATGCTCTATTGAAATTGGCTTAACTTTGCGCATATGCTCGCGGAATTCCTCTATGAAAATTTGCGGACTAGGAGTGAAGTCGTCCGGCAGTATAAATTCTCCGGGGACGCGTAGTGTCGTTCCATAGACAAATTCCGCAGGCGATGCGCCGGTGTCAAGGCGGACATGAGTACGCAGACCTAATAATACGGTCGAAAGTACTCGTGACCAACCTTCATTAGCATGACACATAATAGCAGCTTTTAAGCTTCTATGCCACCGCTCAATCATACTGTTCGAAGCGGGATGATACGCCGTGGTACGAATTCGTTGACAGCCGATCAGC